GCAAAACCCCATCTCTACTAAAAATACAAAAGATTAGCTGGGCATAGTGGCAGGTGCCTGTAATCCCAGCTACTTGGGAGGCTGAGGCAGGAGAATCACTTGAACCCGGGAGGTGGAGGTTGCAATGAGCTGAGCTCGCACCATTGCACTCCACCCTGGGAAACAGAGTGAAACTCCAGCTCAAAAAAAAAAGAAAAAAATTGAAATAATATCCAACAGCTTCTCTGATAGCAATTGAATACAACTAGAAATTAATAACAAGAGAAATTCTGGAAACAACACAAATACATGGAAATTAAACAGTATGCTCCTACATGACTAATGGGTCAATGAAGGCATTAAGAAGAAAATTTAAAAATTTCTTGAAACAAATGATAAAGGAAACACAACATACCACAACCTATGGGATACAGCAAAAGCAGCCCTAAGATGGAAGTGAATAGCCATAAGTACCTACATGAGAAAAGACAAAAAAAACTTCAAATAAACAATCTAACAAAGCATCTTAAAGGACTGGAGAAGCCAGAGAAAAACCCAAAAAATAGTAGAAAAGAAATAATAAAGATCAGAGCAGAAACAAATGAAATTAAAATAAAGAAAAAATACAAAAGATCAATGAAACAAAAAGCTGGTATTTTGAAAAGTTAAACAAAACTGACAACCTTTATCCAGACTAAGAAAAAAATGGAAGATACAAACAAAATCAGAAAAGAAAGAGGAGACATTACAATTTATGCTGCAGAAATTCAAAGGATCATTAGAGGCTACTATGACCAACTATATGTCAATAAATTGGAAAGCCTAGAAGAAATGAACAATTTATAAGCACATAATATCTACCAAAATTGAACCAGGAAGAACTCCAAAATCTGAAGAGATCATTAACAGGTAACAAGACTGAAGACCTAACAAAAAGTCTCCCAGCAAAGAAAAGCCCAGAACCTGATGGCTTCACTGCTTAATTCTACCAAACATTTACAGAAGAAATAATGCCAATCCTACTCAAACTATTCTGAAAAATAAGGATGAGGGAATACTTCCAAACTCATTCTACAAGGCCAGAATTACCCTGACACCAAAACCAGACAAAACCACATGAAAAAAAAAAAAAAAAAAGAAAAGAAAACTACAAGCCAGTATCTCTGATGATTGTTGATGCAAAAATCCTCGACAAAATATTAGCAAACCAAATTCAACAATACGTAAGAAAGATCATTCATCATGACCAAGTGGGATTGATTCCTGGGATGCAAGAATGGTCCAACATATGCAATTCAATTAATGTGATTCATCATATCAACAGAATGAAGGATAAAAACCATCTGATCATTTCAACTGATGCTGAAAAAGCATTTGATAAAATTCAACATTCCTTCTTGATAAAAACCCTAAAAAAGCTTGGTATAAAAGGAACATATTTCAACATAATACAAGCCATATACAAGAGACCCATAGTTAGTATCATACTGAATGGAGAAAAACTGAAAGCTTTTCCTTTAAGATCTAGTACATGACAAAGATGCCTATTGTCATCACTATATTCAGCATAGTACCAGAAGTCTTAGCTACAGCAATCAGATGAGAGAAAGAAATAAACGACATCCAAACTGGGAAGAAGTCAAATTATCCTTGTTTTCAGATATGATCTTATATTTGGGAAAACCTAAAGACTCCACCAAAAGACTATTAGAATTGATAAATTCAGTAAAGTCACAGGATACAAAACTAACATACAAAATTCAGCAGCATTTCTATATATCAACAGCGAACAATGTGAAAAAGAAATAAAACATGTAATTCCACTTACAATACCCATGCATAAAATTTAATACTTAGGAATTAACCAAAGATGTGATACACCTCTATAATAAAAACTATAAAACATTGATGAAAAAAATTAAAGAGGACACCAAAGACTGGAAAGATATTTCATGTTCATGAATTAGAAGAATCAATATTGTTAAAATGTCTATGCTACCCAAAGGAATCTACAGATTCAATGCAATCCCTATCAAAATGCCGATGACATTCATCACAGAAATAGAAAAAAAAAATCTAAAATTTATATGGAACCACAAACACCCAGAATAGCCAAAGAGCTAATCTAAGCAAAAAGAACAAACCTGGAAGAAACACATTACCTGATTTCGAATTATACTACAGAGCTATAGTAACCAAAACAGAATGGTATTGGCATGAAAACGAACACATAGACCAATGGAGCAGAACACAGAACTTAGAAACAAATCTTCACAGCTACAGTGAACTCATTTTTGACAAAGGTGCCAAGAACATACACTGAGGTAAAGACAGTCTCCTCAATAAATGGTGCTGGGAAAATTAGATATCTACACACAGAAGAATAAAACTAGGCCCCTATCTCTTGCCATATACAAAAATCAAATCAAAATGGATTAAAGACTTAAATTTCAGACTTCAAACTATCAAGCTACTACAAGAAAACAGTGGGAAAAAATCTCCAGAACATTAATCTGGGCAAAATGTTCTTGAGCAAATCCCACAAGCACAGGAAATCAAAGTAAAAATAGACAAACGGGATCACATCAAGTTTAAAAGCTTCTGCATAGAAATGAAACAATCAACAAAGTGAAAAGACAATCCACAGAACAGGAGAAAATATTTGCAAACTATCCCTCTGACAAGAGATTAATAACCAGAATATATAAGGAGTTTCCTAACAACTCTATAGGAAAAAAAAAAACAACAAATAATCCAATCAAAAAATGGACAAAAGATTCGAATAGACATTTCTCAAGAGAAGACATACAAATGCAAACAGGCATATGAAAAAGTGCTCTACATCATTGATCATCACAGAAACGCAAATCAAAACTACAATGAGTTATCATCTTACCCCAGCTAAAATGGCTTATATCTAAAAGACAAGAAATAACAAAGGCTGGCAAAAAGAGAACCCTTGTACACTGTTGGTGGGAATGTAAATTAGTACAACCACTATGGAGAACAGTTGGGAGAGTCCTTAAAAAACTAAAAATTGAGCTACCATACAATCTAGCAATCCCACTAATGGGTATATATCCAAAAGAAAGGAAATCAGTATATTGAAGAGATATCTGCACTCCCATGTTTGTTGCAGCACTGCTCACAATATCTGACATTTGGAAGTAACCTAAGTGTCCATCAACAGATGAATAGATAAAGAAAATGTGGTAGTTATACACATGGAGTATTATTCAGCTGTTAAAAAGAATGAGATCCTGTCATTTGCAATAACATGGATGGAGTCGGAGGTCATTATGTTAAGTGAAATAAGCCAGGCACATAAAGACAAACATCACATATTCTTGCTTATTTGTGTTATCTAAAATTATAACAATTGAACTCATGGGCATAGAAAGTAGAAAGATGGTTACCAGGGTAGTGGCAGTGTTGGGGGTAGGGATGGCTAATGGCTACCAAAAAATGAATAAGAGCTACTACTTGATAGTAAAACAGGGTGACTAAAGTCAATAATAACTTAATTGCATATATTTTTAAATAACTAAAAAAGTGGAATTGGATTGTTTGTAACACAAAGATAAATGCTTGAGGATACCCCATTTTCCATGATGTGATTATTTCACATTGCCTGCCTATATCAAAACATCTCATATATCTCATAAATATATACACCTACTATGTACCCACAAAAAATATTTAAAAATTAAAAATAAATAAAAAGTGGGAAAATGACATGAACAGATACTTTTCAAAACAAGACATTTATGCAGTCAACAAGCATATGAAAAAATGCTCAATATCACTAATCATTAGAGAAATGCAAATCAAAGCCACAGTGAGATACTATCTCACACCAATCAGAATGACTATTATTAAGAAGTCAAACATAGCAGATGCTGGCAAGGTTGTGTAGAAAAGGGAACACTTATACACTGCCAATGGGAATGTAAACTAGCTTAACCACTGTGGGAAGCAGTTTGGGGATTTCTCAAAGAACCTAAAGCAGAATTACCATTTGACCCAGCAATCTCATTATTGGGTAGATACCCAAAGAAATATAATTGTTCTACCATAAAGACATATGCATGTGTGTGTTCATCACAGTGCTATTCACAATAGCAAAGACATGGAATCAGCCTAAATGTCCCTCAGTGGTAGACTGGGAACATATATTCTTACTTACAAGTGGAAGCTAAACATTGAGTACATATGGATGCAAAGAAAGAAATGACAGTTACCAGGGCCTACTTGAGGGTGGAGGATTGGAGGAGGTTGAGGATTGAAAACTATCTATCAGGCACTACGCTTATTACATGGGAGATGAAATAATTTGTACACCAAACCCCAACCCCTATGACACATAATTTACCTACATAGCAAAACTGCATATGTACCCCTGAACCTAAAATAAAAGTTAAAAAAAAGATGGTGAATACCAAAATAAATAAATTAATAAAAATTTAAAAAAAGATTCTTGGTTCTTACACTAGGCAGAAGAGAAAACTATTTTTCCCTAAAGATTATAGTCTTTTCTTTTCCTTGTATTCTTCTTCTTCTTCTTCTTTTTTTTTTTTTTTTTTTTTTTTTGAGACAGGGTCTCACTGTCACCCAGGCGAGAGTGCAGTGGCATGGATTTCAGCTCACTGCAACCTCCACCTCCCAGTTTCAAGTGATTCTTGTGCCTCAGCCTCCAGAGTAACTGGGACTACATGCACACACCACCATGCCTGGCTAATTTTTGTATTTTTTTTTCAGTACAGACAAATTTCTACCATATTGGCCAGGCTGGTCTCAAATGCCTCAGCCTCCCAAAGTGCTGGGATTACAGGCGTGAGCCACCGCGCCCAGCCTAGATTATAGTCTTTTCCAGTTGTGCTACCCATTAGACATGTAAAGGCATTAGAAAATTATGCTAGTGTTAAATAAGTTTAAAACCATCTCAAAAGCCTATCTGGGGTTTTTCCAAGAGATCTATAGCACATGTCATTATATATCTCTATTCAACTGAAAATTCTTACTTTCAGGAAGAGATGAAAATCCTGAATTGACCAAATTGCTCATAAACTCTTGTAAATTCACTGTCCCATCCTCTGAAAGAAAAATGCAAGCCAAAGGACATGGAAAAAGTAAATAATCAAATATAAGAAACAGACAAGTATAATTGCTATATTGAGAAATAATGTATAGATATGGCTTTGAAACTGAGATATATATGCAGTCAAAAACACAGGTGCATACATATCATTCACACACACACACATATACTTATCCTCTATAGATTTCCCACTTTATGCTGTTACTGAGGATTACTAGAACACAGATGACAATTACTAGAACCCAGATGAACAGTAGGTATTTTAAGCCTTGGATAATCTATGAAGCAGAAAAGCCTCTTAAGAATTCTTGAAACATTCAAACTGATTCATGTTAACTAAGATAAAGGATACCTAGAAATACATTAAATACTCACCCCTGGGAGCCACATTCTTCAGTGCTCTTTGAATCACATCTTGGGGTAATGGAACTCCTACAGTTTTCAACATGAAGTCTAGGTCATCAGGGTTTGCCACATTTTTCTTAACGGAGGCCAGAACTTTCAAGGAGTCTTCTGTTTCTATTTGGAAAAAAAAAACACAGTACAAAAATTTTTTTAAACACTCAAATATTATTAGTAGATTCTGAATGATAGTAATAACTACTGCTACTACTGCCCATTGAGTACTGTCTGAGCTTGCTAGACACAAGCAAGCTCATCTCAGAGATTACATGTATCTTATCTCATTTAATCCCACAAAAGCTCTGTGGAGTCAGTACCAATATTTCCCTTATTTAAGAGATAAGAAAACCTAGCCTTAGAGAGGCTATTCTGTCCAAGAACCCATAGATACTAGATGTGAAATCAAGTCTGAAATCCAGGATAACTGATGTTATAGGCAGAATGTTTAACCATGATGTTAACCAAGTCATTGCAGATATTTAAATCTGAGATTTAAGAATGATTACATAGAACTCAGAACATCTGCTTAGTCTCTTCTCTATCATATTTGAGGCTGAGAATTCGATTAAAGATATGACAACTAACCATAAATTAATTGTTTTGCCTAAAATTGGATAAATGGTCATCTTTTAATATGACTGTCATCAATGAATTTTTTTCATTTAGCAGATCACTTGCATGCATCAACACATATACACAAAAATGTCCCCCCAAAATGGAAAGCTTGGTACTAATATATAACTACCAAAAAAGGTAATATTTAATTTGGAAAGTACCATGGATAAATTATTCTACCAAGCAAAAAAAAAATGTTAAGTATTGTATTATGATGAACATCATTATATCAAAAACATTTACCCTGTATGAGTTTAAACTTATGAACGACCTATCTAGGAGAGTCTTATAGGTGTCAATTACAAAACCAAGGATTAAAGAAAAACTATTTCATCTATTGAAATACTTACCACTTTGCCATCCTAAATAATTTCATTTTGTAGCTCCCTAAATTAGGTCTTTTGAATTCAGTTTGGTTTCAATTTAGAAAACATTTAGAAAGAGTTTAGAAAACATTAAGCGTTTAAACTCTTCTCAAAAATACTGGCTTCTCCAAGAAGACTCAGGGAATCCAAAATAGTTGTGAATTTACTAATTAAATTAGCCTAAACATTGAGGAGACCCAGAAGTTCCACAGACTTTTTTTACGTTGAGGATGCTGGTTAATTAAATATATTAAAAACAGATTACATACAATCCCTTATGGATTGGTAGTGGAGTAGTGGAAAAATACCATAAAGGAAGTGTATATGTTTCAAAATGTTCCTATATGTTTCTAAATGTTTCAACAGTGAATTGTCTCATGACAAAATCTCATTTTAATGAAGAGATAATAGGATAGAGAAAAAGAAGTAACACTGATCTTATTCCCACAGAATTTTGGTAAAATAGCAGATATTTCCAACTGATAGCAGTCATCTTGGATCACAAACTTGGACACTAGGATGAATCATCTAGATAAATTTTGTCTATTTACTCTTTTTGAGTGATGAACAAATATACTACAATTCTAGAAAATATCAGTTGAGAAAACACCAGGACTAGAATCCCCTATTGATTCTTGATCCAATGTACATTTATTTATGTGTGTGTGCATATTTACATATTTAGGCATACACACACACACACACGTCTTTCTTTACAGCATTAGAAAACTGCATAAATGAATATAATTAACACCAAACAATTCCATTCAAACTTTTTATTGTTAAAAATTCTCACTCACTTGAAGCTTTAGTAAAATACGGCGTTTGCATCAACTGACTCAGGCAATCTTTTAAGTTCACTTTCCCCTCTTCTGAAAATGGAACATAAAGGGATGAATAACATTTGGTCAAAAGATACCAAGCAATGGTATTAGAAGATATCCATGCCTACTTAATCTTTAAGACTAAAATGTTTTCTAACTCTGATTCTGCTATACATACCTCAGAATAACTATGAAAAGGAATATGATTATGATGACTCTTGTGGTCATTTTTGTTATAGTGTCAATGAGCATTATGTGGATTTTACACACACCTTAACCAATTGGGACAACTGTTTTGGTATGTTTCCTCTCCCATTTTATATTATCTTAATTTTTCAGTATCACAAGTCCTATAAGTGCCTATATTTTCAAGGAAGACAATTTATCTGCCAGAAAATAAGTCTTATAAACCAAACTCAACCATAATATCTAAAGAAGACTACGCTTATGAGCAAAGATATATTAGTAAAGGAAGTGTGCAATCTTTGGCTTTCTATCAGGCATATGCTTGGGACTTAAGATGAAAAAGAGCAACCCAAGCCTCTGCATGTAAACTAAACATTCCATTGGCAGGATTCTAAAAACTCCAGCATAGCCCATTGAGAATTCTAGGGAAACCCAACTGGTTGTGTGCATCGCACACTAAGGATTAGGTCTTTGTTTCATGGGCTTGAGACAGCTTCACAGCTTCTGACAAACAAATACGATAGAGAGAGGAAGATTATATTTTCCTAGGATACTCAATATTAAGATAATCCAGAACAAATTCTCATTCAGCCCTAAAAGGGAAAATCTAGAGTTGCCGAACTCATTGCATTTGATTCCTCATCACTTAAGCTCTTTGGATTCTGAGTGAAAGTAAACACAAGCTTTTTGTGTTTAATAAATGACTCAGAAGTGTTACAGCTCTTTTAGAATTTGTCTAGCAGGCTTTCTGGTTTTTGCCAAAAAATTTTCTTTAAATAAAGAATACATACTATCAACACAAACGGATCCAAGCACCTCCTGTAATTCTTCCTCTGGAAAATAAATCCCCAGGCCTTTCAGTACAGAATTTACATCATCAGCATCAAGTTTTTCATTGGTGACTTTGTCTAAGGCCTTTGCAAGTTTGTTAACCTCTATCAAGATAAAATAGAAAATATTTTCAGTTTAGCTACAGTCATATTGTAAATAATAAACTACAGTTCAAAACATTAGTATAGGTACCTGACATCGTTAATTTAAAGATGATATAGCACAGTGCAATTCACCTTAAATACTCAGGGGAGGGATCATTCCAAACTTCATCATCCAAAAAAATCCTTGATAACATTCTTGGTATGTGCCCTTACAGCATTTTTATATTTTAGTGGTATTTAATTAAAACTGTTTAATGGCAAACTTTGTTTCAGTTAGCAAGGTATCCTGACCATTTTCCCTTTCAACACACTATTCTACCAGCACCATTTTAAATGACTGTATAGTATTCCACTGCATTAATATATCCTATCTTTCTAAATCAAAGTTTAATTGTTATCATAAGTGGAATCCTGATGATAAATTTTCTTAAACATGCATCTGTTCACTAGTGGTTTTTTCCTAACATAAATTTCCAAAGTTAAATGGGGTGCACGGTTTCAAGGCCTTCGAGATACAATGCCAAATAATGAAAGAAAATAGTCATTTTACCACATCCTTTCTAACTTCAACTTATTCTTTCTTCCTTTCTTATTTTTCTGAAAGAGCTTCTAGATGATAATGCCAATCCTCCCCTCCAATTCCTCCCCCTCAAAAAACAAAGTCCTTTAGGAATTGAATTACACATATAAATTAATTTTGAGAAGTGACTTTAGTAAAATATGTGAAATCCATCAATAAAATATTTCTCCATTTATTCAAATCATCTTTTTCAGCTATCAGCTCTATGACAATGACTTTCAAATGTTTCTATCACTGAACTCATCCAAATTTTAGTTCACATGTCTAACTGTTCCCTACCTAACTCTTCCTTCAAAGCCTTCCTCCATTTTTCCCTAAAACTCTCACCTTCACCTGAACTCCTAAAATAATAAACGTGTAACCACTCATTTGATCTTTTGGTATATTAGTTACACTTTTATATAAATGGCTTATTTTTCCAGCTAGACTTTAATATCCTTGTGGTCTACCTCTATACCATGCATATTTGTATTAAATATATGTATACTAATTATATTAACTTGTGATTATGGTATAAGATCAATTTTTCAACTAAACTAATAAGCTATAACATAGTTAAAAAAAATAATAATCCCTGAACTTGGAGTCTAATTTTTTTTAGACAGAGTCTTGCTCTGTTGCCCAGGCAGGAGTACAGTGGCACGATCTCTGCTCACTGCAATCTCTGCCTCCCAGATTCAAACGATTCTTCTGCCTCAGCCTCCCAAGTAGCTAGGACTACAGGCGCATGCCACCACACCTGGATAATATTTTGTACCTTTAGTAGAGACGGGGTTTCACTGTGTTAGCCAGGGTGGTCTCGATCTCCTGACCTTGTGATCCACCCGCCTCAGTCTCCCTAAGCTTCACTTTTCTCATTCTTGATTATAAGAAACCTACTTAACACAGTAGTCAAAAGAATAAACTGTGTAAAACAAATTATATGAAAGTGTTTGGTAAAACACCAAACACTATACAAATGTATTACTATTTGCCAACAAACTAATATGATATTATTTGAAACCAAACAAAATATAATGTAATACTATAGACATTTTTGCCCTGAAATGCTTCTTAGACTAAAATAAGAATTGGAGAAGAGTTTTGGTAACTTTATAAATCATTAGGCTATTAACTTATGGTTAAGTGAATTAGAGATTTTCAAAAGTATACTCAAAAGTTAGGGAGATATTTCACAGAGGGCAGCCATCACATGATGCCATGAAATGTTTCTTGGTGCCACAGTCAAGAAGACAACACCAAGTTGGACGAATCACTGATTCCAGTAAGTTAACATATATATCTCCATATGAAAAATTCATGGGGCAGCTTTGCCAAAATGGCTGAATAGCTCTGCTCTGTGGCTCTGCTCTGTGGCTCCCACTAAGAAGACGAAAAAGAAGAGTGAATTCTGCATCTTCAATTGAGGGACCAAAGTTCTGTCATTGGTACTGACTAGGTGGTCGGCGCAATCCATGGGGAGTAAGGAAAAGTAGGTGGAGGGAAGGCCCACCTGGGAGCTTCACAGGGCAAAAGAAGTTCCCTCCCCTAGCCAAGGAAGTGAGGGATTGTGCTATCCCTCCCTGAAAACCATGCTTTTCCCACAGATCCTTGCAACTGCAAATCAGGAGGTCCCCTCGTGAGCCCACGCCACAAGAGACTTCAGTCCCAAGCACAGAGCTGTGCAGACTCACAGTGGCTGCTCAGGCAGCAGGCACTGAGACACAAGTGTTTTTGCATACTCCAGCTCTGGGAACTCTGGTGAGGTAGGAGATCTGTCCACTCCCATGGGAAGGGGGCTGAAGCTGGAGAGTCAAATGGCCTCACTTAGTGGGCTCCACTCCCATGGAACCCCACAAGCTAAACCCCACTGGCTTGGAATCCCCCCCAGCCAGTACAGCAGGCTGGAGACCACCTAAGAACATCAAGTTCTGGGGTTGGGGAGGAGAGGCCACCATCACTGCAGCACCAGTTGGCCATTTTTCCCTGCCACTGGTGCCAGCGAGACTGGGCAGTTTGGATGGGAGCAATTCCCCACCGTGCAGCACAGTGGCTGGATCAATTCGTGGTCAGACTGCTTCTTTATGTGGGACCCCAATCCACTCCTCCTCACCAGGCGGGGCCTCCCTGTAGGAATTTCAGCATCCCCAGCCAGGGGATGAGAGGAGCCCCTAGGAGGAGGGGAAGTTGCAGTATTATGCATCAATGGTCTTAGTCTTTTCTGCCTACTGGCTCTAGAGAGTCAGGGCAGCCTGAACAAGGGAGATTCCCCCCAGTACAGCACACCTACTCCACCAAGGGGTAGCCAGACTGCTTATTTAAGCAGGTGCCTGATCCCACTCCTCCTGGCTGGGTGAGACCTCCCAACAGGAGTCTCCAGACACCTCATATAGGAGAGTTCCAGCTGGAATTGGTTTGGTGCACCTCTGGGACAGAGCTCCCAGAGGAAGAAGCAGGCTGCCATCATTGCTGTTCTGCAGCCTCCACTGGTGATACCTCCAGGGGCAGGAGGGACCCGGGCAAATAGGGTCTGAAGTGGACTCCCAGCAAACCACAGCAGCCCTATGGAAGAGGGACCTGACTGCTAAAAGAAAAACAAACAGAAAGTAACAACAACAACAACAACATCAATGAAAAAGACCCCACAAAAACCCCATCCAAAGGTCAGCAACCTCAAAGATCAAAGGTAGATAACTCCATCAAGATGAGAAAGAATCAACTCAAAAAGGCTGAAAACTCAAAAAGTCAGAGTGCTGCTTCTCCAAATGACCACAACACATCTAAAACAAGGGCACAGAACTCGGCTGAGGCTGAGATGGATGAATTGACAGAAGTGGGCTTCAGAAGATGGGTAATAACAAACTTTGCTGAGATAAAGGAGTATGTTCTAACTCATTGCAAAGAAGCTAAGAACCATGATAAAACACTATAGGAGCTGTTAACCAGAATAACCAGTTGAGAGAGAAACATAAATGACCTGATCAAGCTGAAAAACATAACACAAGAACTTCACAATGCAAACACAAATATTAATAACCAAATAGACCAAGTGGAAGAAAGATAGCAGAGCTTGAAGACTATCTTGCTGAAATAGGGCGGGCAGACAAGATTAGAGAAAAAAGAAAGGAGTAAACAAAACCTCCAAGAACTATGGGATTATGTTAAAAGACTGAAGCTATGACTGATTGAAGTACCTGAAAGAGATGGGGAGAACAGAACAAACTTGGAAAACACACTTCAGGATTATATCCAGGAGAATATCCCCAACCTAGCAAGACAGGCCAATATTCAACTTTATGAAATCCAGAGAACCCCAGTAAGATACTCCATGAGAAGATCAACCCCAACACACATAATCATCAGATTCTCCAAGGTTGAAATGAAGGAAAAAATGTTAAGGGCAGTCACAGGGAAAGGCCAGGTCACCTATAAAGGGAAGCCCATCAAACTAACAGAAGACCTCTCACTGGAAACCCTGTAAGCCAGAAGAGATTGGGAGACAATATTCAACATTCTTTTTTAAATTATTATTATTATACTTTAAGTTCTAGGGTACATGTGCATAACGTGCAGGTTTGTTACATATGTATACTTGTGCCATGTTGGTGTGCTGCACCCATCAACTCGTCAGCACCCATCAACTCGTCATTTACATCAGGTATAACTCCCAATGCAATCCCTCCTCCTTCCCTCTCCCCATAATAGGCCCCGGTGTGTGATGTTCCCCTTCCCGAGTCCAAGTGATCTCATGGTTCAGTTCCCACCTATAAGTGAGAACATGCGGTGTTTGGTTTTCTGTTCTTGCGATAGTTTGCTGAGAATGATGGTTTCCGGCTGCATCCATGTCCCTACAAAGGACAAGAACTCATCCTTTTTTATGGCTGCATAGTATTCCATGGTGTATATGTGCCACATTTTTTTAATCCATTCTGTCACTAATGGACATTTGGGTTGATTCCAAGTCTTTGCTATTGTGAATAGTGCCGCAATAAACATACGTGTGCATGTGTCTTTATAGCAGCATGATTTATAATCCTTTGGGTATATACCTAGTAATGAGATGGCTGGGTCATATGGTACTTCTAGTTCTAGATCCTTGAGGAATTGCCATACTGTTTTCCATAATGGTTGAACTAGTTTACAATCCCACCAACAGTGTAAAAGTGTTCCTATTTCTCCACATCCTCTCCAGCACCTGTTGTTTCCTGACTTTTTAATGATTGCCATTCTAACTGGTGTGAGATGGTATCTCACTGTGGTTTTGATGTGCATCTCTCTCACTGTGGTTTTGATGAGCATTTTTTCATGTGTCTGTTGGCTTCATGTCTTCTTTTGAGAAATGTCTGTTCATATCCCTTGCCCACTTTTTGATGGGGTTGTTTTTTTCTTGTAAATTTGTTTGAGTTCTTTGCAGATTCTGGATATTAGCCCTTTGTCAGATGAGTAGATTGCAAAAATTTTCTCCCATTCTGTAGGTTGCCTGTTCACTCTGATGGTAGCTTCTTTTGCTGTGCAGAAGCTCTTTAGTTTAATTAGATCCCATTTGTCAATTTTGGCTTTTGTTGCCATTGCTTTTGGTGTTTTAGACATGAAGTCCTTGCCCATGCCTATGTCCTGAATGGTATTACCTAGGTTTTCTTCTAGGGTTTTTATGGTTTTAGGTCTAACATTTAAGTCTCTAATCCATCTTGAATTAATTTTCGTATAAGGAGTAAGGAAAGGATCCAGTTTCAGTGTTCTACTTATGGCTAGCCAATTTTCCCAGCACCATTTATTAAATAGGGAATCTTTTCCCAATTTCTTGTTTTTCTCAGGTTTGTCAAAGATCAGATGGCTGTAGATGTGTGGTATTATTTCTGAGGACTCTGTTCTGTTCCATTGGTCTATATCTCTGTTTTGGTACCAGTACCATGCTGTTTTGGTTACTGTAGCCTTGTAGTATAGTTTGAAGTCAGGTAGCGTGATGCCTCCAGCTTTGTTCTTTTGACTTAGGATTGTATTGGCAATGCGGGGTCTTTTTTGGTTCCATATGAACTTTAAAGCAGTTTTTTTCCAATTCTGTGAAGAAACTCATTGGTAGTTTGATGGGGATGGCACTGAATCTATAAATTACCTTGTGCAGTATGGCTATTTTCATGATATTGATCCTTCCTATTCATGAGCATAGTATGTTCTTCCATTTGTTTGTGTCCTCTTTATTTCACTGAGCAGTGGTTTGTAGTTCTCCTTGAAGAGGTCCTTTACATCCCTTGTAAGTTGGATTCCTAGGTATTTTATTCTCTTTGAAGCAATTGTGAATGGAAGTTCATTCATGATTTGGCTCTCTGTCTGTTACTGGTGTATAAGAATGCTTGTGATTTTTGCACATTAATTTTGTATCCTGAGACTTTGCTGAAGTTGTTTATCAGCTTAAGGAGATTTTGGGCTGAGATGATGGAGTTTTCTAAATATACAATCATGTTATCTGCAAACACGGACAATTTGACTTCTTCTTTTAAAGAAAGGAATTTCCAGCATAGAATTTCACATCTGACTAAACTAAGCTTCATAAGTGAAGGAAAAATAAAATCTTTTTCAGACAAGCAAATGCTGAGAGAAGGCCTGCCTTGCAAAAGCCTCTGAAGCTCGCACTAAATATGGAAAGGAGAAAACCATTACCAGCCACTACAAAAACACACCAAAGTACACAGACGAATGACACTATGAAGCAATTACATAAACAAGTCTGCAAAATAACCAGCTAGTATCATGATGACAGAATCAAATTAACATTTAACAATATTAACCTGAAATATAAATGGACTAAATGACCCAATTAAAAGACACAGAATGGGAAGCTGGATAAAGAGTCAAGATCCATCAGTGTGCTGTATTCAAGAGCCCCATCTCACATGCAAAGACACAAATAGACTCAAAATAAAAGGATAGAGGAAAAATTACCAAGCAAATGGAAAACAGAAAAAAGAGTTGCAATCTAAGTTTCTGACAAAACAGACTTTAAACCAACAAAGATCAAAAAAGACAAAGAAGGGTAGTACATGATGGTAAAGGGTTCAATTCAACAAGAAGAGCTAACTATCCTAAATATATATGTACCAAATAAAGGAGCACCCAGATTCATAAAACAAGTTCTTAGAGACTTACAAAGAGACTTAGACTCCCACACAGTAACAGTGGGAGACTTTAACACCCCACTGTCAATATTAGATTGTTGGGACAGAAAATTAACAAAGATATTCAGGACTTGAATTCAGCTTTGGATCAAGTGGACCTGATAGACAGCTACAGAACTCTCCACACAAAACGACAGAATATATATTCTTCTCAGCACCTTACTCTAAAATTGGCACTTACTCTAAAATTGATCACGTAATTGTAAGTAAATCATTCCTCAGCAAATGTAAAAGAATTGAAATCATAATAAACAGTCTCTCAGACCACAGCACAATCAAATTAGAACTCAAGATTAAGAAACTCACTCAAAACCACACCACTACATGGAAATTGAACAACCTGCTCCTGAATGACTCCTGGGTAAATAATGAAATTAAGGCAGAAATCAAGAAGTTCTTTGAAACCAATAGGAAAAAAGAGACAATGTACCAGAATCTCTGGGATGCAGCTAATGCACTGTTAGGAGGGAAATTTATAGCACTAAATGCCCACATAAAAAAGCTAGAAAGATCTCAAATCGACACCCAAACATCACAATCAAAAGAACTAGAGAACCAAGAGCAAACAAACTCCAAAGTTAACAGAAGACAAGAAAAAAAGGAGAAAGAGACGTGAAAAAACCCTTCAAAAAATCAGTGAATCCAGGAGCTGATGTTTTGAAAAAAATAATAAAATAAATAGATCTCTAGCTAGACTAATCAAGAAGAAAAGAGAGAAGAATAAAATAGGTACAATAAAAAATGATAAAGGGAATATCACCACTGACCCCACACAAATACAAACAACCATCAGGGAATACTATAAACACTCCTATGCAAATAAACTAGAAAATCTATAAGAAATGGATAAATTCCCAGGAATTTATCCACATACACCCTCCCAAGACCGAACCAGGAAGAAGTTGAATCCCTGAATAGATCAATAACAAATTCAAATCAAAACCACATTGAGATACCATCTCACACCAGTCAGAATGATGATTATTAAAATGTAAAGAAAAAACATGCTGGCAAGGTTGCAGAGAAATAGGAATGCTTTTACACTGATAGTGGGAATGTAAATTAGTTCAACCATTGTGGAAGATGATGTGGTGATTCCTCAAAGATCTAGAACTAGAAATACCATTTGACCCAGCAATGCCATTACTGGGTATGTACCCAAAGGAATATAAATAATTCTATTACAAAGATACATGCATACATATGTTCACCGCAGTGCTATTCACAATAGTGAAGACATGGAATCAACCCAGATGCCCATCAATGACACACTGGATAAAGAAGATGTGGTACATATACACCATGGAATACTATGCAGCCATAAAAAGGAACAAGATCATGTCGTTTGAAGGACATGGATGGAGCTGGAGACCATTATTGTCATCAAACCAACACAAGAACAGAAAACCACCACACATTCTCACTTTTAAGTGGTAGCTGAACAATGAGAACACATGGACACAGGGAGAACACCACTACAAACTGGCACCTGCCTATGGGTGAGGTGTGGGGGAGGGAGAACATTAGGAAAAATAGCTAATGCATGCTGGGCTTAACACCTAGGTGAGAAGTTGATAGGTGCAGCAAACTACCATGGCACAGGTTTACCTATGTAACAAACCTGCACATCCTGCACATGTACCATGGAAATTAAAATACAAATAATTTTTTTTAAGACAGAATCTTGCTCTGTCACCCAGGCTGGAGTGCAGTGGTGCAATCTCAGCTCACTGCAACCTCCACCTCCTGGGTTCAAGCAATTATCCTTCCTCAGCCTCCCGAGTAGCTGGGATTACAGGCGCCCACCACCACACCAGGCTAATTTTTGTATTTTTAGTAGAGGCAGGGTTTCACCATGTTGGCCAGGCTGGTCTTGAACTTCTGACCTCAAATGACCCACCTACCTTGGCCTCCCAAAGTAAACTACAAAAGAAAAAAAAAAATTCACATATTCTCTATGCAACTATTAAAAAATGAAGAAACCTCTTTGTTCCCTGATCTAAATAAATATTCAAAATATATTGTTAATTAAAAAATATCAAAGACACAGACATATGTATACATTATACTTGTATTTGTATAAAATTAATATGGGAAAAAATGCATATTCATATTTACTTCAATGTTCATAAAAATATCCAAATGCGGCCAGGTGCAGTGGCTCACACCTGTAATTCCAGCAATTTGGGAGGCTGAGGCTGGTAGATTGTTTGAACCCCCAGGAGTTCAAGACCAGCCTGGGCAACATGGCAAAACCCCATCTCTTCAAAAAATAAAAAAATGTGCTGGGCATGGTGCTGCGCACTTATAGTTACAATTACTCAGGAGGCTGAGGCAGGAGGATCACTTGAGGGCAGGAGGTTGACACTGCAGTGAGCTATGATCGCACCACTGCACTCCAGCCTGGAAGACAGAGAAAGACCATTCCCTCCACCCACCCCCCCAAAAAAATCTCCAAATGCTCCTTACATAACAAATGTTTATGAACTAACTACAATGGTTAGTTATTGGGAGAATTAACTACAATGGTTAGTTGTTGGGAGAAAGAGGTAGGAATTGGATAGTTAGAGACCAGATCAGAGGGAGATTTTAACTGTAGATATTTACATACTTCCTAATTTATGATCTGTGTAAATGTATTATCAAATCAGATATTTGAAACTTATTAAAACGTTTTAAAGGCAGATATTTTTGACATCCTTTTTAGAAAATGTACTGTTTTCTTCAATTATGAACTAATAACTAATGTTAAAAACTAGACTTAAATGAACATAGGATTCTCACCTTCATGTGAACTCTTAAAATACCAAATGTGTACCACTCATCTGATCTTATAGCACATTAGTTACATTTTTATGGAAGTGGCCCGTCACTTTCAACAATTATGGTAAACATTTTCTATATTCTCAACGTGTATAAAACTTCCTAATTATTCTCACCTCTAAAATCTTGTAAACGCCTATTGCTTTTCAATGCTAAAATGGCACTCTTTAGGGAAGTGTCTCCCTTTTCTGTAAAGAGAAAAAACAGAACAGAGATATATTAATAGATTCAAGAAACAAAAGACTTACTTAGTGAGCTAACTTGGTTCACTTATTATCCCCTTAAATAATCTTAATGATTTTCTACCCTGTATACTTTTGCCCAAAATGCTGTCTACTCTCTACCTATCCAAATCCTATTCATAACAAAACTAGCTCATAAGTAAAAGCCTTCCCTTGATCCTACATTTCTTTCTAACTATTGCTCTATCCCTTTCCTTTCCTTCACAACCTAATCTCTGGAGGAAAAAAATGTTTCCATTGATCATATCCTCACTCACAATCTCAAACTAGTGCTATTCTGGCTTCCACCTCCACAAAGATCATTCTCAGAAGTTCACCAGTTAACTATTTATTGCCTAATAATGAGCACTTTCAACTTTTAGTCTTTAACTCTTCAAACTCTTTCTTCCCTTTGTTTTGTTGCTACAGCTTTCTCTTGGTTTCCTTCCTATCATTCTGGTTATTTCTCCTTCTCCTTCTCCTTCTCCTTCTCCTTCTTCTCCTTCTCCTTCTCCTTCTCCTCCTCCTTCTCCTCCTTTTTTTTTTAGATGGAGTCTCGCTCTGTTGCCCAGGCTGGAGTGCACTGACGTGTTCTCAGCTCACTGCAACCTCCACCTCCAGAGTTCAAGCCATTCTCCCACCTCAGACTCCTGAGTAGCTGGGATTACAGGAGCACGCCACCATGCCCTGCTAATTTTTGTATTTTTGGTAGAGACGGGGTTTCACCTTGTTGGCCATGCTGGTCTCAAACTCATGACCTCAAATGATCCACTCACCTCGGCCTCCCAAAGTGCTGGGATTACAGACGTGAGCTACCATGCCCGGCCTCTTTCTTCTTACTGTCCTTTATAAACTACTGTTTCTCCATCATTGCTTAAATATCAGCATGCCTCATTTCTCTCTCCTTGGCTCTCTTCTCTGATAATGGTGATGTACAGATGGGGTTTTGGTGTGGATGTCCTTTCTGTTTGTTAGTTTTCCTTCTAACAGTCAGGATCCTCAGCTGTAGGTCTGTTGGAGTTTGCTCGAGGTCCACTCCAGACCCTGTTTGCCTGGGTATCAGCAGTGGAGGCTGCAGAAGATAGAATATTGCTGAACAGCAAATGTTGCTTCCTGATCGTTCCTCTGGAAGCTTCATCTCAGAGGGGTACCTGGCCGTGTAAGTTGTGAGGTGTCAGTCTGCCCCTAATGAGGGGTATCTCCCAGTTAGGCTACTTGGGGTTCAGGGACCCACTTGAGCAGGCAGTCTGTCCATTCTTAGATCTCAAACTCTGTGCTGGGAGAACCGCTATTCTCTTCAAAGCTCAGTTGGAAATGCAGAAATCACCCGTCTTCTGTGTCACTCATGCTGTGAGCTGGAGGCTGGAGCTGTTCCCATTCAGCCACCTTGGAACTGCCCCCTTGGCCCTCTTCTCAATATACTCTATAAACTTTTCCTAAACTCTCTTATAACTATGAACTGTATGTTGATGATTCCCAAGATTACACAATCTTCTAAATCCTTTGTTGTCATTTCAACAATATTCCCAGCATCTTCACCAGGTGTATATTCCATCTAAGGAAACCACTTTCTCTGCACATCAGTAAGAAGCAACTCCTTATCCTTTAAAATTTTATCATGAGATTGCAGCAATTCAGTCACATCTTCAGGATCCACTTCTAGGTCTAGTTTTCTTGCTGTTTCTACCACATATGCAGGTACTTACTCCAATGAATTCTTAAAGTTATCATGAAGGTTAGAGTCAACATCTTCCAAATTCCTGTTAATGTTGACATTTTGACTTCCTCCCATGAATCACAAATGTTCTTAATGGCTCTAGAATGAAGGGTCCCTTCTAGAAAGTTTTTATTTTACTTTGCCCAGATCCATCAGAGGAATCATTATCTGTGGCAGCTATAGCCTTACCAAATGTATTTCTTAAATAACAAGACTTGAAAGTCAAAATTACTCCTTGTTTCATGGGCTGCAGAATGGATACTGTATTGGCAGGCATGAAAACAACATTCGTCTCCTTGTACATCTCCATCAAGAGCTCTTGGGTGACTAGATGCACTGTTAATGAGCAGCAATACTTTGAAAGGAATCCTTTTCCTAGCAGTAAGTCCCAACAGTGGACTTAAAATTTTCAGTAAATCATGCTGCAAACAATGTGCTGTCATCCAGGCTTTGTAATTCCATTTATAGAGCAGAAGCACAGTAGATTTCGCCTGTGCTAGTAGTATCTGAAGAGCCCTAGGATTTTCAGAATGGTTAATGAAGTTAATGAATAACTTGAACTTAAGTCACTAGATATTAGCCCCTAACAAGACAGTCAGCCTGCCTTTGAAGCTTTGACCCCTTCTCATCTCTATTTATGAAAGTCCTAGATGGCACCTTCTTTCAATAGAAGACTATTTCATCTCCATTGAAAATTTGTTGTTTAGTGGAGCCACCTTCATCAATTATCTCAGCTAGGTCTTGTAGATAACTTGCTGCAGCTTCTTTAGCAGCACTTGCTGCTTCAGCTTGCACTTTTATGTTATAGAGATGGCTTTTTTCCCTAAACCTCATGAACAAACCTCTGCTAGTTTCAAACTTTTAGTCTGCAGCTTCCTCACCTCTCTCAACTTTACCAAAGTTTTGGTTTCAAGAAATGTTGTGGCTGGTTTGATCTTCTAGCCAAACCACTAAAACTTTTTCAATATCAGCAATAAGACTGTTTCTCTGTCTTGTCATTTTTAGCTCTTTTAATTTACTTCATAAACTTTTTCTTTGCCTTCAAAAGTTGGCTAACTATTCAGCACAGGAGGTGTAATTTTCAGCCTAGCTCAGCTTTCAACATGCCTTCCTCACTAAGCTTAATCATTTCTTACTTAATCATTGCTCGCTTTTATATGTCAGTAATGTGCAACTCTTCCTTTCATGTGAACACTAAGAGGCCATTGAAGAGTTATTAATTGACTTGATTTCAATATTGCTGTGTCTCAAGGAATAGGGAGGCCAAAGGAGAGGGATAGAGAATAGGGAAATGGCTGGTCAGTGTAACAGTCAGAATACACACTTTATCAACTAAGTTTGCCATCTTATATGGGTGCAGCTCATGGTACCCCCCAAAATTACAACAGTAATATCAAATATCATTGACCACAAGTCATCATAATAGATATATAAATAATTAAAATTTGTGAGAACTACCAAAACGTGACACAGAAACATGAAGTGATCACATACTGTTGGAAAAATGGTGCCAATAGACTTGGCTGAAAAAGGGTTGCTATAAACCTTCAATTTGTAAAAACACAATATCTGCAAAGTACAATAAAGCAAAGTGCAATAAAATGAGGTATGCCTGTATTTCAAAACTCAACTCCAACATAATTTTCTCCAGGAAGCCTCTTCTTATTACCTTATCCAACTCTGGGTGGGTTAGGTTCATGCATATTGTATATGTTTCCGTAACACTCTATGTTTACCTCTATCATAGTATTTAACTATTGGTATCCTCATTGTTTCTATCTCAGTAGTCTGTAAACTCTTGAGAAATTCTCTACATATTTAATTCCTAGCAAGCAATAAGTGCTAAATAAACTTTGAATGAATGAAACAGCTCTTCTCTAAACTCTTATTCAACTCAGTATCATCACTATTTCTCTGGCAAGTATTCAAGAACTTCCACATAACACTGCACAATTCGCTAAACTTTCATCTCCTATATGTTACACACCTTTTTGTTGTATTTTTATTCATATTTTATATATATACTTTGTCTCACTAACTAGACTGAAAGTTTTCTAAGTGTGAATATTTTATATTTCTTTGAATCCATTATGTATTATATAATTCCTGACAAATAACAGGCACTCATGATCAGGTCTGTCACATATAACTATGTAGGCTGGGTTATACAACACTAAGGGGTACTGTTCACGCAGAGATAATGTGCTTCTGAAGTTATGCCCTGCAGTGACCCCAGTCAATAAACTGGTTAAGCAATGCCAAATCCATTTAATAATGTAAAAAAGAAAATACGTTTCAGGAGTGATTTTAAATTAATTTTTAAAAGTGCACACAATAACTGCCAAAATTTGAAAATTATACATTCTTTTCTCTGAAATCGCTGAAGATTTACACTCAACTTCATGTCATAACTATCTCAGGTACAGGGAGGGAATGTCCTTATTTAGTCTTTTCCTGTCTAATAGCCGTTTCACACTAGCACAACCTCAGAGAATTACAATAGTCCCCACTTATCTGCAGTTTTACTTTCCTCTGTTTCAGTTACCCACAGTCAAGCACAGTCTGAAATATTAAATGGAAAATTTAAGAAATAAACAATTTATAATTTTTAAATTGCACACTTTTCTGAGCAGTATGATAAAATCCCACACCATTCCACCATACCAATCTCTCCAGCCCTGGACCTGAATCATCCCTTTGTCTAATGTAGCCACATTGTATACACTACCTGCCCGTTAGTCGCTTAGTAGTCATCCTGGTTATCAGATCAACTGTTGCAGTACTGAAGTGCTTGCATTCAAGTAACCCTTATTTTACTTAATAATGGCTCCAAAGTGCAAGAGTAGTGACGATAGTATATTGTTATATTGTTCTCCTTTATTGTTAATCTCTTACTGTGCTTAATCTATAAATTAAACTTTATCATGGGTATGTACATATAGGAAAAAATATGGTATATAGAGGGTTTGGTGCTATCCATGGTCTCAGGCATCCAGTGGACGTCTTAAAGCATATCCCATGTAGATAAAGGAGGACTACTGTACCTACTGCACTGCACCTTTTCTGATTTCTATAGTAAGTGCTGAAAACAAACATACCCTGATGGAATCAACACAGGATACTTGATGGGACTATAAAGTAAGGGCTTTAAAAAAATCTTATTAACCTTATTCAAATATTTTCTATCAAGATAAATTACAGAATGTCTTTTCCATTAAAAGAATAAAGAAAAAAAAATTTTAAGGAGTAATGAATGGAAAATAAGAAACGGGAATTTAAAAACTACTGTCACTTTATTAGAAAAATAAACTTATAGTGATTATATATACCATCAGCGTCAAGTGTTTTCACTAACATCTGATGTTCTTCAGGCTTTAAAGAAATATTGAGGTCCTCAAAAGCATTTTTCAAGTCACTAACTTGAACTCTGTCACAGTTCATCAAGCTGACAGTACTGAGGGCAGTGTCTATATCTGAAAGCAAACGGAGATTCTGTAAGTTACTTAACACTCTTTGGAAATAATATTTTTACTTTCTAAACTTCTGAACAACAATGTACCTAAAATTTTAGACTACTGTCCAAACATATCTCTCAAATAATATTATCTCTATGATTCCCAAATTAATAAATACTAGCCCCAAATTCCTTTATTCCAAGCATTTCGCTGAAATGATCAGTTACTTTTGTCTTAATATCAAAAACTTTAGTTGACTGAGTTTTTAAAAATTTAACTAAATAAAATTATCATTTTTTAAAAAATAAAAATACCACCATTATTGTATCGCTGAGGGATATGTTTAATGTTATATCAGTGAGAGGGACTTTAGGGCTCATCTCTGCCTGTATGGAACTGCCCAAATTTCAGGAGGTAAAAATCTTAGTCCTAAATTTTCTTCTACTTACATACTTTGATGTCCCATTCATTTTTTTGCTTCTTCCTCACAACTTTTACTCTCCTATTAAAAGTCCTCCCAAAAGTGTGGGTGTATTAAGGTTTTAGGAATATATTGTGCCTAAATCTTTACCCTAAATGTTAAAACCTAGTATTTATTTTTTAAACTAAAAGATAGCTATTTACAAGAGTCAAATGCCATAAAATATATAGAAAAAGTGTGATCTAAGGAGTTTCAAGGTTACAGGAAATAGATGTAAGAGTTCTTCTGTGAAGACAATAGAAATGTTAGAAGTTTTTTCAAGCTCAAGCACTCTGGATTCCTCCTTGGTCTTATCTAAGACACTATGAGCTTTCTCCTCTTTTTTAGGAATATAGCCATGCTTCAAGTACTTTAAAAAGGAGTTATACACAAACTTACTCCCAAATAACTCCTGGATGAACAGTGAAATTAAGGCAGAAATCAAAAACTTCTTGGAAAATAACAAAAACGGGGACACAACTTATCAAAATCTCTGGGATGCAGCCAAAGCAGTGTTAAAAGGAAAGTTTATAGCTCTAAATACCTTCATCAAGAAGTTAGAAAGATCTCAAATTAATCACCCAACTTTGCACCTAAAGGAACTAGAAAAATAATCCTAAAGCTAGCAGAAAAAAACAAAATAACTCAAATTAGAGAACTTAATGAAATAGAGATGTAAAAATCCATACAAAACATCGATGAAACCAAGAGTTGGTTCTTCAAAAAAAATAAGATTGATAGACTGTTAGCTAGATTAACAAAGAAAAAGAGAAGATCCAAATGAGCACAATCAGAAGCGATAAAGGTGATATTACAACTGATCCCACAGAAATACAAAAGATCCTCAGAGACTACTGTGAACAATTCTATGCCCACAAAAGGAAAACTTAGAAGAAATGGATAGATTCCTGGAAGAACACAATCTCCCAAGATGGAATTAGAAAGAGATTAGAAACCTGAATAGATTAATATCAACTTTTGAAATTGAATCAGTAATAAAGAACCTACCAACAACAACAACAAAAAAGCTCTGGACCAGATGGATTCATAGACAAATTCTACCAGACATATAAAGAAGAACTGATACCAATCCTACTAAAACTATTCCAAAAAATGGAGGAGGAGGACCCTACTGAAACTATTCCAAAAAAAATGGAGGAGGATTCCTCCCTAACTCATTCTATGAAGGCAGCATTAGACTGATCCCCAAATCTGGCAGAAACACAATGAAAAAAGAAAATTTCAGGACAATATTCCTGATGAACACAGAAACAAAATTCCTTAATAAAATATCAGTAAACCAAATCTAGCAGTATATCAAAAAGTTAATACACCATGATCAAGTAGGTTTTATTCTTGGGATACAAGGTGGTTCACAATCAAAAATTGTGATTCACCACATAAACAGAAATAAAAGCCAAAAGCCATATGATCAACTCAATATATATAGAAAAAGCTTTTGATAAAATCCTACATCCCTTTATGATAAAAAGAAAGGAAAACCCTAAGCAGACTAGGCATCCAAGGAATATATCTTAAAATAATAAGAACTGTCTATGACAACCCTCAGCCAAGATCATATTGAATGTACAAAAGCTCAGACCATTCTCCTTGTAAACTGGAACAAGGCAGAGATGTCCACTCTCATTGCTCCTATTCAACAAAGTACTGGAAGTCCTAGACAGAGCAATTAGGCAAGAGAAAGAAATAAAAGTCATCCAAATAAGAAATGAAGAAGTCAAACTATCTCTCTGCTGACAATATGCTTCTATCTCTAGAATATCCACACTCCCAAAAGGATCCTAGAACTGATAAATGACTTTACTAAAGTTTCAGAATACAAAATCAATGTACAAACATCAGTAGCATTTCTATGAACCAACAATATCCATACTGAGATTAAAATCAAGAACACAATTCCACTTACAACCGCCAGAAAGAAAGTAAAATACTAGGAAATACAGCTAACCAAGGAGGTGAAAGATCTCCACAAGAGAACTATGAAACACTGCTAAGAGAGTACACAAACATATGGAAAAACATTCCATGCTTACGGATTGGAAGAATCAATAGTGTAAAAATGGCCATACTGCTCAAAGAAATTTACAGATTCAGCATTATTCCTATCAAACTACCAATATTGTTCTTCATAGAACTAGAAATAAACTATGCTAAAATTCATATCGAACCAAGAAAGAGCCCAAATAGCCAAAGCAATACTAAGCAAGAAGGACAAAGCTGGAGGCATCACATTGACTGACTTCAAACTATACTACAAAGCCACAGTAACCAAGACATCTTGGTACCAGTAATAGATAGATACATAGACCATTGGAACAGAACAGAAAACTCAGAAATAAAGTTGCATGCCTATAACCGTCTGGTATTCAACAAGGCCAACAAAAACAAGCAATGGGAAAAGGACTCCCTGTTCAATAAATGGTGCTGGGATAATAGCAAGCCATATGCAGAAGATTGAATCTGGACTCCTACCTTTAACAATATACAAAAAATAAAACAGATCAAAGATTTAAATGTAAGACCTCATACTATAAAAACCCTGGAAGATAACCTAGGTAACACCATTCTGGACATAAGCCTTGGCAAAGAATTTTTGGCTGAGACTTCAAAAGCAATTGCAACAAAAACAAAAATAGACAAGTGGGACCTAATGAAACTAAAGACCTGCTGAACAGCAAAGGAAACTATTGAGAGCAAACAGATAACCCACAGAATAGAAGAAAATCGTCACAAATTATGCATCCAACAAAGGCCTAATATTCCAAATCTATAAGGAACTGAAACCAACAAGAAAAAAAAAAGACTCATTAAAAAATAGGCAAAGAATATGAACAGACACTTCTCAAAAGGAGACATACAAGTGGTCAACAAACATATGAAAAACTGCTCAGCATCACTTATCATCAGATAAATGCAAATCAAAACCACAATGAGATACCATCTCACACCAGTCAGAATGGCTATTATAAAAAGTCAAAAAAACAACAGATGCTAGCGAGGCTGCAGAGAAAAGGAAATGTTTATACAACTTTGGTGGGAATGTAAATTAGTCCAGCAACTGTGGAACGCAGTCTGAAGATTTCTCAAAGAACTTAAAGCACAGTGGCTCAAGCCTGTTACAATGCCACCACTCTGGGAGGCCGAGGCAGGTGGATTACCTGAGGTCAGGAGTTTGAAACCAGCCTGGCCAACATGGTGAAACCCTGTCTCTACTCAAAACACAAAAATTAGCCGGGCGTGGTGGTGCACGCCTGTAATCCCAGCTACTCAGGAGGCTGAGGCAGGAGAATCGCTTGAACCTGGGAGGCAGAGGTTGCAGTGAGCTGAGATCATGGCATTGCACTCCAGCCTGGGTGACAAGAGGGGGACTCCATCTCAAAAACAAACAAAGAAACAAAATTCCCCCAAAAACAGAGCTACCATTCGACCCAGCAATCCCATTACTTGGGTATATACCCAAAGAAAAAAAAGTCTACCAAAAGACACATGCACTCCTATAGTCATCACTGACCTATTCACAACAGCAAAGACATGGAATCAACCTGGGTGCCCATCCATGCTGAAGTGATTAAGAAAACATGGTACATATATACCATAGGACACTATGCAGCCATAAAAAAGAATGAAATCATATCCTTTACAGCAACATGGATGGAACTGGAGGCCATAATCCTAAGCAAATTGACACAGGAATAGAAAACCAAATACCACACATTCTCACATATAAGTGAGACCTAAACATTAAGCACACATGGATATAAATATGGGAACAACAGACATTGCAGACTACTAGGCGGTGGGGGTAGATGGGTTAAAAACTACCTATCTGGTACTCTGTTCACTACATGGGTGACAGGATCCATACCTCAAACCTCAGCATCACACAATATTCCCATGTAACAAACCTGCAAATGTACTGCCTATATCTAAAATAAATGCTGAAATTTAAAAACAAATAAATATTAGTTATACAAATCATCATACACTCAAGATTACTGTTCATAACATAAATCTCTAGTTTATAAAACTTTTTTAAATTTAAAAGAGGCAGAGTATAAGTGCACAAAAAGTTACAGAATTAACTTATTAGGTAAGTTAATTTTTTCCAACAAGCCAGATAGTTCTCTCCATCTCCACATGTAATTCTTCAGTAAACCTAAGCCCTTTTAGAATGTTTTAGACTGATGCCACAAATTAAGTTTAAGACTACTCTAGTCCTCCCAGTCATCCCAAAGAGTCCTGACACACCAGGTCACTTTCTCATTCCTAACTGAAATAAAGAGAGAAAAGGAAAGGAAAAGTCCTTCAACAACAGACTTCTTTGGGTAGTAAATCTACTTCTACTTTTATAAACTGGTATCTTGGCCTCTGTATATTTTTCCCTCGCAGCTAATCACCCTCTCTCTGCCTTCCTGGTTCTATTACTTAGTCGTATCTTCTATATTGTTATATACATTGATATCTTTATCTACTATATATACCATTATCTTCTATATAATTTTATCTCTTATATTGCTATATACCCTTCATTCACACATCTCTGCCCTTTACTCATAGGAAATGCCTTTAAATATATATCATATCTAATCTTTATTATTTGGCCAATCTTCTGTTGGGTCGCTCATAACATTCCACATTTGCATCAAAACTATATAAAATGGTCCTTATGTTGATCAAAAAGGATTACAACTGAAATGTATGTGGAGATAATTATTCTTTGTTAACAAGAACAACAACTCTTTGTTAGCAACATTTGTTCATCTTTTAGAATAGCAAAGGTTAAAAATGGTTTAAAATGAATTAAACTGCTTTCATTTATAGTTATACTGTTGTCTTAAAACTATCAGTGAATTTAAGGATTATAACTACCTAATAAAACTAGAATATTTTCCCTAAAAACATATGCACAGTTAAATTATGATATTAATTCAAAAGGCAGTGTACAATACAGAAAGAAAAAGGTAAAATTTAAAAGCACAACATTTACCTACCATGACTGCTTCTAAATTGTTGCAGTGAAGTATTACTAAAAATTTCTGAAGACTACATATATACTTTCTAAAGTGGAACACTGGATTACTTGTGAAACTCAAACAACTATATTCCAAAATGTCTATTAAAAATAATACATTTGTGCTTTATAAAAACAAATATAGTTAAGTTTGACTATTTTATTAATGTCAGAATATAACAATGAACTGAAAAATACTTTCCAGCTCAAACCAAAATTAATTTGATGACTCATATCTCTAGGATAAGGTTGGTTTAATGTAATGAATTTTTATGACCTATACAACCCTTTTAAATAATTTGTGCCAATCTCTACAACCAAAGTCTTTAAAAGAAAACAAACATGGTAGAATTTTTTAACTTTTCATTTATGAATAATAAATTATACCCTGCTACTTCTAAGTAATGAATAAATTTAACAGGATCAATGCAAAGAACTAAGCTGTCAAGTTTTTTAAAAATCCTAATTCATGAGCCTACTGATTTTTCCAATAAACCCTAGCAGGCTTGCAGAAATTTACAAATTGAATATAAAATTTATATGACACTGTAAAAGACCTAAATAGCCAAAACAACTTTTTTTTTTTTGAGGCAGAGTCTCGCTTTGTCGCCAGGCTGGGGTGGCACCATCTTGGCTTACTGCAACCTCTGACACCCTGGTTCAAGCAATTCTGCCTCAGCCTCCCAAGTAACTGGAATTACAGGCATGTGCCACCACGTCCAGCTAATTTTTGTACTTGTAGTAGAGACAGGGTTTCACCATGTCGGCCAGGATGGTCTCCATCTCCTGACCTCGTGATCCGCCTGCCTCAGCCTCCCAAAGTGCTGGGATTATAGGCGTGAACCACCATGCCCAGCCCCAAAACAACATTTAAAAGGTAGAACAAAGTTGAAGGGCTGACATTATCTGATTGATTTCAATGTTTGTTATGAAACTACAATAATCAAGACAGTATAATATTAGTGTAAAGATAGACAAAAAAAATGGAACAGAATAGAGAACCCATAAATACACATTTATGAAACATTCTACATATATAAACATTCCACTTATATATAATATTCTATACACGTAATATTCTGTAAAAGTACAAAGGCAATTCAGAGGAGAAAGTATAGTGTTCTCAACAATAGAACAATTACATAACCACATGTTAAAAAAACTCCATACTTTACTCCACATACAAAAATTAACTTGAATTATACATCAAAAATGTAAAACCAAAAACTATAAAACTTTTACAATAAAACATATGATTTTTAAAAACTTGCAAACTTGGGTAAGAACAAGATATCTTACACATGACACCAAAAGCATGGTCCATAAAAGAAAAAAATTGGTTAACTAGACTTCATCAAAATTAAAATTAACCCTCTTTTAAAGGCACTTAAGAAAATGAAGAGACGGCTGGGCGTGGTGGCTCAAGCCTGTAATCCCAGCACTTTGGGAGGCCGAGACGGGCGGATCACGAGGTCAGGAGATCAAGACCAGCTTGGCTAACACGGTGAAACCCCGTCTGTACTAAAAAATACAAAAAACTAGCCGGGCCAGGTGGCGGGCGCCTGTAGTCCCAGCTACTCGGAAGGCTGAGGCAGGAGAATGGCGTGAACCCGGGAGGCAGAGCTTGCAGTGAGCCGAGATCCGGCCACTGCACTCCAGCCTGGGTGACAGAACAAGACTCCGTTTCAAAAAAAAAAAAAAAAAAAAAGAAAAGAAAAGAAAATGAAGAGACAAAAGATTAGAAGAAAATATTTGCTAAGCGTGTATCTGGTAAAAGACTTGTATCCAGAATACATGAAGAAATATGAAAACAGACAACAGAGACCGACCCCATCTCTAAAAAAATATATGTGTGTATATATATTTATAAGTATATATGTATATATATATATGAAAACAAACAAGCCAACTTAAAAAGATGAGCAAAGTTATAACAGACACCTCACCAAAGAATATACACATGACAAATAAGTATATGAGAAAATGCTCAACATCATTAGTCATTAAGAAAATGCAAAGTAGAACCACAATGAGATACTACTATATACTTCTTAGAATGGTTAAAATTTGAAAGACTGAATATACCAAGTATTGGCAAGAGTTTGGAGGAACTGAAACTCTCATACACTGCTCTTGGGAATGCAAAATGGTAAAACCAGTTTAGAAAACAGCTCGGCATACTCTTAAAAAGTAAAACATGCATCTACCAAATTCAGTTAGTATATCCCTTGGTAATTGCCCAAAGAAATGAAAGCTTATGTTCATAACAACAATTTGTACGTGAATGTTTACAGAAGCTGTGTTTGTCATAGGTAAAACCTGGAAACAACCTAATTTACCTATATCAGCAGGAAAATAAACTGTGGCATATCTATAAAGTGGAATACTATTCTGCAATAAAAATAATGAACTACTGATGCACACTATACCATGGATACATTTCAAAATAATTATGCTGAGTGAAAGAAGCCAGCAAAAAAGAGCACATTCATTTACAAAACAATATTGGAAATGCAAAAACAAATTTCTAGTGAAAGAAAGCATATCAGTGGTTGCCTGGGAATGTGGGAAAGGTGGAGAATGGCAAGAGAGATTATAAAGGGTATGAGAAAGTTTTAGGGGTAAGGGATATATTTATTATCTTGATTGTGATGATGGTTGCATAGGTGTGTGCATATGTCTACACTTAATCAAAATATGTCCTTTTAAATATAAAATTATACAGTTTTACATCAATTATATATCATAAAGCTGTTTTAAAAATAACAAGAGGCAATGAAAACTATCTAAATATCTAAATAAAATATTGATTTACCCACCTTCAAATACAGAAGTTGGCTTACTTGTGTTCAAATTCTCCAAAATTTTCTTGAGACTTACATTATTATTTTCTAAAAAGTAAGGTACAAGGGTTATGAAATGGCAAAGTGTCAATCCTAATAACCATTAAATAACCATGACAAAGGGTAGGGATGGGAAATTTTTGTAATTTCTAGAAATTAGCAGGATAAAAGTCAATTAATTTAAAATAGTTTTACCCACAATCAATTTTATCAAAACAAGAAATTCTAACTAAAGGAATTTACTTGGCTTAAATAATTAAATTTTGATGCATATATTTTATAGATTTGATGCTAAATGGAGGATGGCTCTTAAAAATATTTCCAGTAGAAAAACCTATGAATTTTAATTAGCTCTCCATGTGCCTATGTTTTCATTATATTTCTAAGACCCAGTTTACCTCTCACATGTAAGAATGGCTTTTATCAAAAGGACAAAATTTAACAAGTGTAGGCAAGGAAGTGGTGAAAAGGGAACTCTTGTACAGTTATGCTGGGAATGCAAATTAGTACCACCATTATGAAAAACAGTATGGAAGTTCCTTAAAAAATTAAAAATAGAACTCCCATGTGATCCAGAAATTTCACTTCCAAGTATATATCCAAAGGAAGTGAAATCAGCATGTCAAAGAGATATCTGCACTCCCATGTTCATTGCAGCTCACTACTCACAATAGCCAAGACAAAGAATCAACTTAAGTGCCCATTCATCAACAGATGAATAGATTTTTAAAAATATGACATCTATCTATATGTTATAAATATATATGCACAATAGAATACTATTCAGCCTTTTAAAAATGAAGGAAATCCTGTCATTTGCAACAACATAGATGAACCTGGAGGACATTATGCTGGGTGAAACAAAGCAGGCACAGAAAGACAAATACTGCATGATCTCACTTATATGTGGAATCTAAAAAAGTTGAAGTAATGGGAGCAGAGAAGACAATGGTGATTACCAGGGACTGCAGAATTTGAGGGGAGATATTGGTTAAGAGAAACAAAATTTCAGTTAGATAAGAGGAGTAAGTTCTGGAGACCTATTTTAGTGCAAGGTGACTATGGTTCATAATGTATTGTATACTTGAAAACAGATAAAAGACTACATTTCAAATGCTATCACAAAAAATTATAAGGATTTAAGGTGATAGATACGTTAATTAGCTTGATTTAATCATCCACAGTGTACACAGATTTCAAAACATTACATTGTATACCATAAATATGTATTTTTCACTTGCCAATTAAAAACTAAACACTTTTGGGCTGAGCGTGGTGACTCACACCTGCAATCCCATCACTTTGGGAGACTAAGGTGGGTGGATAGCTTAAGTTCAGACCAGCCTGGGCAACATGGCGAAACTCTGTCTCTGCAAAAAATACACATTAGCCAGGTGTGGCGGCTACTTGGTGAGCTAAGGCAGGATGGCTTGAGCCCAGGAAGCCAAGGCTGCAGTGAGCCATTATCATGCCACTGCACTCTAGCCTGGGAGACAGCGAGACCCTATCTCAAAATAAAAAAACGAATAAAATAAACACTTTCACGGATCAAAAAATAAAATAAAATATACATATACACAACAGCTATCCCAAGCACATAGTAAAACTAAAACTAGGACTTCGTTAAGCTCAAAATAGATTGCTCTTTCAAAAAGGATTCACCATCAACAGATGCTTGTCTCAAGATCTCTTGGAACGTCTTGTTGCTTACTGGAATTCCGGCACTCAAAAGTTTGGAGCTCAGTTCATTTACAGGCATTGTATCATTTCTGATACTATCAAGAGTTTTAATCTCTCTAAATAAATCTGTAAATACAGGAAGAATAGAAAACAGATAAAGAAGTTGGGGCAAAGCCCCTTTTAAGATATAACATCCACAGCCTACCGTAGAAGACATTCTGAGTTAAAGGGCTTTTAAAACATACCTATGGGCTTTGTTTTTAGAAGTCAGTTAAATAATAAAAAATGTTCAACATACCCCTAGCCAGGTAAAAGTTGAGTTTCTGCAATTTATTTTGTAAAGTCCATTTTTTTCAGTAACTGTTATCCCTGAAAGGTGTTTCTGCTACATGCTCTGGTCTTTCACAGACTGCAAAGCTTTTCAAGAACAGGTAGGCAGGAGGTAGCTCTTAGAATGAGGCCAAGAAGCCAAATAGTTGGGGAAAGGAAAACACTAAAAATATAAATTTGCTACAGACTGAAAAACAGTCATATACTATCTTAACATCAGAGAGTGTTTATCTCTTACCAGTCTACCAACTAATTTTAAGAACACTAGATCTTTCTTGTACTTTCCTTAATTAACATGTTTCACTATAGGTGAGGAAAATAAGCATGTGGCTATTAATAAAGGTGCGAGAAAACTGTACTAGAGTAATGGGAAGGATGCATACTTTTACAATAAAGCATAATACTGAGACAAATTATTTGCTTTAAGGAAGCATATTCTAGGTATGTAATTCTAAATAATTCATTATACAAAAGCATAAATTGAATATGATAAGGAATAAGAAAGCAGATTACAACATTTCAAATAAAGCAAAGCAAACTTAGGAAAGTGTTGAAAATACAGAGAGAAACAAACTATATTTTAGAAAATATAGGATACCGTAAAATGACCTAAGAAACTGGTTTTCAATTTTTATTATTTTACTATACTTACTGTTGAATGGTGTGGATGGTTTAGGTGAATTCGTGAAAACATCAATTACATCTTTTAAGATCACTTTTCTTTCTGAAAAGTTAAGAAATAAAGTAGGATTTAAATAAAGCAGATTTTAAATTCATTAAGGCAGGAATCTGGTATTATTTTAATATTTCATCCAGCTTTCAAACCCCAGTGATCATAATGCATAGTAAGAAATACTTCTTTGATGGACATTTGGGTTGGTTCCAAGTCTTTGCTATTGTGAATAGTGCCACAATAAACATACGTGTGCATGTGTCTTTATAGCAGCACGATTTATAATCCTTTGGGTATACACCCAGTAATGGCATGGCTGGGTCAAATGGTATTTCTAGTTCTAGATCCTTGAAGAATCGCTACACTGTCTTCCACAGTCGTTGAACTAGTTTACAGTCCCACCAACAGTGCAAAAGTGTTCCTATTTCTCCACATCCTCTCCAGTGGGGGAGGGGGAGAGGGATAGCATTAGGAGATATACCTAATGTAAATGACAAGTTAATGGGTGCAGCACACCAACATGGCACATGTATACATATGTAACAAACCTGCACCTTGTGCACACGTACCCGAGAACTTAAAATATAATAAAAAAAAGAAAAAAAAAGAAATACTTCTATATTGTGAGCACACACACAAACAAAAATACAAGTTTTATAAAGCAATACTCACCCTTATTATAGGTGATACACTCTAATATCTTCTAACAAATTTCAAGTTATGCCATTTCATTTTTTAAATACTATTCAAGACCTATTACATTTATTTCACAACTGACACACAGTTTTAAAAATGATAAACAGGTTATATAGTACAGATATATATACACAGTAATTTTCATTAAAGCATATAAATACAAAGAGTATAAGAGAATGTGTAGGGCTACCCCCTGAAGAGATGTTTTTTACCCAACAAAAACAGCAAAGGAAGAGACCAGAAAAAGAAAGAAAAGACATACTTTTCCTTTGGAAAAAAAAAAAAAAAAATCTGGTGACAAAGAGGAAAAATTCAATTTTTTCTTACTATCATTACTTCCTAATTGACACTGAAACAACAAACAAACAAAAAACTATACACAAAAGTAAGTATATAAAACTAAGACTCCCTTTTCCAAGCAAGTAAAAATCCTTAGGAAACCTAATAGTCAAATGTCAATTTCTTCTGAATTATCCATAACACTACACATAAATATTTCTTGTTCTTTGGAATAACAGGCTTAAGGATATGCTACCCCGAAATATAACATTGTGACAGAATTGGATATTTAAGCTGAAGGAATCTAAGAAATATCAGGTGCAAGAAGAACTCTGTGATCTCCCTTGTCTCCCCTGAAGCAGGTCTTGATATCCTCATATGAGAGGTGCTCTTCCTATGAAAAAAAAAAGAGTATCCTTATCTCCGAAGATGGAGGGATGCTGAGAGGAATCAAAACAAACAGGCCATGCTACCCTTAGCTATACTTAGCTCATAGCCACTCTTCTGTCCTCTATTTCATTTTCCATGACTTTCCACTCTTCATCAAACCTAGCGTAAAAACATCCAGATTTAATCACTTTTTCAGGCTTTTATTTTCTTATGAGGGTTCCCATGTCACATAAAACTTACACCAAATAAACTTGTGTGCTTTTATCTTGTTAATCTGTCTTTTGTTACAGAGCCTCAGCCACAAACCTGAAGGATAGAAGGAAAATATTTCTTCTCTACACTTAACTGGAGACTGCTTCAAAGATTATAAACTGTTAGCCCACATACTGAATACAGTACGAGATTTAGTGATTTTCATTGACCTAGAGAGTGTAATAGTAGTTATTTTTAAATTTGAATTTCATTATCTTTACATGGGATATATACTCTCAAGTTACTCCATAATTCTCATCACTTTGTCTTATGCTAACTTATTTTATTAATTTGTATTTCATGCCTGACTGCTAGACATTTGAGTTAGATGCCCTTGGCCTGGTTCAAATATTATCCTTCTCTGGAAGCCTACTGTAATTTATTTAAAATGTCACTATTAGAGCTATAATACTGTGCCTCTTGGATTGGCAGGCTAATTTGACCCATCTTTCCCCTCCCTCCTATTCTAAGCAATTACCTTGGCCTTAAGTAGTATTTCCTCACTCCTCTGATTTTTGTTAACTTAATGTTTTTGTAGAAACTGCTTTTGCAAAAGCCTAAACCCCTTGAAGAAAATATACCAAATGCCTAAAGAGAGAGATTTTGACAACTGAGGGATTTCTTCTGAAAAGAGAGAGAGAGATCTGATAAGAAAGAATGAGAATTTCTCTATGAGAGCATCCATTCCTCAACCCCACCCACCCTCAAGATGCAGGACTGCCATTGTCTTTATCAACTGAATGTCAGTAGAAACACAAGGAAAGGGAGTTTAAAAGCTCTTCCTCCATGCCCATTGCCCTTTCCCAAATTGTAGTGTGACACTGGATTGGGAGGGAGTCCCAGTAAATAACCAGTCAGCCCTCAGGGTCAGATTTAATTCAATTAAAAGAAAATAAAGCAACTGCAATTTCTGGTACTATAGCAGCTAGACATCCGGATTAACCCTCCTACTGAAGATGACAAAAAAATCTAAATAAAATATTACTTATAAAAAATCTTAACTGCTTCAATTTGCTGCCAAGAAAGTAAGAAATTCCCAGGCCAAAAAAAAATTGATGAAGAGCTCTAACTCAAAGCACAGTATCTACTTTTTCAGGCAAAGAGTGTTTGCCAAAGACAAACAAAAACAAATGGAATGAATTTTAGTTTATATTTTCAAAGGCTCAGACAAAACCTAGGTTCCTCCCAAACTGCACATTTATATCCTTTAACTTATAAAACTGCTTAACCTAGCATTCAATACTCGCAAAAAATATCAATAATAAAGAAAGGTTCCTCCTTTACAGGTAATTTGACTCTTCTCTCTGGCTACCTTTAAGGTTCTCTTTCTTTTGGGGTATGCTGCAGATACATCCTGATATATCTTTGTATGGATTTCCTTTTATTCTATGTGGAATTCACTGGACTTCTTGAATCGGTAGGTTAAAGTCTCTCTCAATTCTGGAAAGTTCTAAGCTACCGCCCCTCAAATATTTTCTCTGCAACCACTCTATCCTCTCTTCTCCCCCGTATTGATGTATATTTTTTATACCTCTTCCTTCTATCTTCTATGCCTCTTAACCTATTTCCTATATAATCTGTCTGGCTGCATTGTGTACAACTTCTTCAAACTAATTTGCAGTTCATATTTCTCTCTATGCCTATGTTTAATCTGCTGATATTCTTGTCCACTAATTAATTTTGATTATTATATTTTAAATTTCTAGAAGTTGTCTCTTTTTCATATCTGTGTGCTCTTTATAGGCTTTAGGTTCCCTTAGATATTTTCAAGTTTCTCTTTTATTTCTTTGGAAGAATACAGAAGAATATGACTACAGAAAGAGTGAAATTTTTAAAATGGAAGATATGTACACCAGAAAAAATATTACTTCAGGCTAGACTGGCATCAGAGAAAATATACTTTAAGGCAAAAGCCTTACTGACAATGAAAATTCAACTTACAACAGGGGAAAAAACAGTTTTAATATCTTTAGGAATCTATAACAAGTTTAAATTGAAATACATCTAGTAACAAAGACTTGAAATATATAGAGCAAAAAATGGACAGAACTACAAAGAGAAATAAACAAACTATCATTACTGAAGATTTTTAACACGTCTTTCAATAAATGACAGGACAAATAAGACAAAAAATCAGTAAGGACATAGAAGATTTGAAAATATGATTAATAAATGACCAAATATAAAAGACTGACTCAACAATTGTAGAATTTCTTTACAAACGCGTAACATTTTCCAAAAAGTGATCATGTTGTGATCCATAAAGCAAGTCTTAATATATTTTAAATAACTAAAAACATATAAAATATGCATTTAAAATAACTGAAATTACAGAAAATATATTCACTTACTGCAATATAATTAATACAGTAAAAACAAAAAACACTCCCAAACTTGGAAATGAAGAAACACTTCTAGAATTGCCCATGGATCAAGACAGAAATCATTATAAAAGTAAGAAAAATAATTTTAACTAATCAATAATTTTAAAACTACATATCAATACCTGGGGCCATGTAGCTAAAAAAGCAATACATAGGGGAAAATATATATGCTTAAAACCTTACATTAGAGAAGAAAAAAGGACTAAAATTTCATGAGCTAAGCATCCATCTCAAGAAGTTAGAAAAAGAGTAACAAAATAAACCTTAAAAAGTATAGCGAAGAAAATGATAAAGACAAAAACATAAATGAAATGAATAATAAACATATAATAAAGAGGATCAAAAAGTTGACTTAGTTATTGAAATGTACAAACCATGAGTATAAATTATCTTAAAAACAGAAAAAAGACAAAAATGAGCAAGACAAGGAATGAGATGGGAATATTACTGCAAATGCCACAAATATTACAAAAATATTTAAGATCTTATTATTAAAAATCATATAGTGACTAGCCTAGCCATCATGGCAAAACTCTGTCTCTACTAAAAATTAAAAAATTAGCCAGGCATGGTGGCACATGCCTGTAATCCCAGCTACTCGGAGGCTAAGGCACGAGAATCACTTGAGCCTGGGAGGCAGAGGTTGCAATGGGTCAAGATCATATCACTGCACTCCAGCCTAGGCAACAGAGCAAAACTCTGTCTCAAAAACAAACAAAAAAAATAGTATAGTATTAGAGTGATAAATTTTTCAGATGAAAAAGTCAAAGTCTTAGGAAAAACCAGCTTACCCAAATTGGCTCATGAATAAACAGAAAACCTAAATAATCTTACAATATGAAAGAAGATGAATCAGTAATCAAAAACCTTCCCAAAAGAAAATGTCAAGGCTCAACTGGCTTGTTCTGTGAATTCCACTAGACTCAAAGGTAATACGCAATCTCAATGCTATAGAAACTATTCAGAGATTGGGGGTGGCTGGCAAGATGGCCACTGAAACTATTCCAAACAATAGAAAAAGAAGGACTCCTCCCTAACTCATTTTATGGG